CCCCCCCCCCCCCCCCCCACTAAACTCACACTTGAGTCTTATTTATGGACAGAATGGGCTATCTTTTGGAAAGACTACAATGTTTTTAGATTCTTTCTTATCTTTGGGTTCTATTATTGAGATGCCTTCTTATCTGTGATCTAATTTTTAGATTTCAATTATCATCAGACTCCATATGGAGTACGAAATATGCCTTCTTATCCTCCTTTTACTGTTAAGGATAGGGGAATCTCTTTGGTAATATATTTTCCACTTGTGATTAAAAAATTAGTAAATTCGAAAAAAAAGAATGCTAGTTTACCCCACCTCATAGATTTTTATTTCACCTTATGTTTGGTAATAGTGACAATAGAGAAATTGATGCCAATTTTGCTAATACAAATTTGGGGGGGGGGGCTGGCTTGTATGTTACTTGTAACCATTGGTGGCTGATGACAGTGGAATGTGGATCGGGTTGTAGTGACAAAACTTAGAGGATAATGGAAGAAGAAGAAGAATCAAAGAGAGTGGGAAAGAGGTGGAGACAGAAGGTTTTGCTCTCTTTCCATTGGAGGGTGGAAGATGGTGGCTCAATGCTCTGTCATGATGTCCGATGGGGTTTGGACTTAAGGTTAGATGAAGAAATGGAAAGGTAGGAAGAGAGAGAGAGAGGTCTTGTTTTGCTGATGGTGATAGTGGTGTTCAAAGGAGGGAGAGGATAAACAATGGTCTTAGGATTTGGTACGATGCACAGGAATGTAAGAAAAGACAATTCAAGTTAAAACATTATTTTTTGTATTTGTTACTATTTTTATAATTTGTTTACAAACTATCTGATTTTATCAATTCATAAAACTTTATTATTATTATTATTATCATTATTATTATTATTATTATTATTATTATTATTATTATTATTATTTATTTATTTTAAAGCCTGAAATACTAGAAAAGATTATAATTGGGAGGACTCCGGATCCGGTGCAATCTTTTCCCCTCTGACTTGAGGACATTCTTAACATCTCAAGAACTTGTCATGGCGCCATCACAAAGCATATTCATTTGTAAAGAATACAAAATACAAATGTGTAACATGGTTTTTAAAAATAAACCGGTGACCGAACCGGTCAGGGGTCCGGTTACTGATTCAAATGGTCCGACTGTTCGACTTGAATGGCTGGCCTATTCTGACAAAAAAATAAAAAATTGGAAAACGGTCAAAACTGTTAGAACGGTTCGAATGGTTAACCGGCCGGTTTAGCGGTTTGCTGACCAAAATCAACAGTTTTGAGGGAAAAAGCGGTTTTCGAGGAAAACGGAACCGATCAGGTGACCGGTTCCTGGTTTTTCCGGTCCAATCCGGTTTTGAAAACAGTGATGTGTACAATGCAAATACATACAAAATAATAGAAAAACAAGGTTTCGCACTCTACATATTTGTATTTGTACTCCTCCCTAACTGAGAGCCTTATCATTTTTTTTTGTTGGGTGCAAAGATTCTATAAGCTTAGAAGATGGAGAACAAGAACAATGTCAATTCTTTGCATTTAGGCTATTCATCATAAGAAAAAGAAACTTCGTATCTAGGGCCATTAAGCACTTATTTTGTTTGGGAAATAAGCCCGAAATAAGTGCTTGTTTTAAAAATGAGGGCTTTTTCTTAGCCTAAATTTCTAGCTTCTTTTTAAGTGCTCATACAATAAGCACTTATTCAAAAATTTTCTCCCATAATTGTCCCCGATAAATTTTTAGAATACCAATTATACCCTTTTATAAAAGCACTTTTACAAACACTTTTATAAAAGTAATTTTATAAAAAGTACTTTTACGAAAGCACTTATATGAAAGTACTTTTATGAAAGCACTTTTACGAAAGCACTGTTAGAAAAGTATTTTTAGAACCACTTTTATAAAAAAGTTCTTTTTACAAAAGCACTTTTATGAAAGTACTTTTATGAAAGCACTTTTATCAAAGTACTTTTATTCATTCACTTTGGATTGGGTATTTTGAAAATTTGAAAGAAAATGAAGGATAAAAGAGCCACAATTGCTTATTTAAGTGCTTGTTGGAGAAAAAGACCACCAAACGCCCAATATGAAATAAATGCTTATTTTTTAAAATAAACACTTGAAAAAGCTGGGTGCCAAATGCAAAGAAATGCTTATTCGAATAATCACTTATTTAATAAGCACTTATTTTTAATTTAAGCACTCCCAAACATTAGGGGTGCTCACGGTTTTGTTAACCAAATCTTGGGCCTTTTTTTGTAACCGAATCAGTACTATCGGTTTTTGGAAAATTGGTAGCCGAAATCGAACCGGAGCCAACTAGTTAACCGATTGATTGATTCGGTTAACCGTTGGTTCGGTTCACCGATTTTTCGATTTTTGTAAATTTTATAATATATTATAATATATATATATATATATATATATATAATATAGAAACATATGTATACTGGTCGATTTGATTAACTATCGGTTTTCTATATTAGTTAACCCAAATAGAACCGGTACTTTTGGTTTTTTGAAAGCACCGAACCAATCAATTCGATTAACCAATTTTTCAGTTCGATTTTGATCAATTTTTTTGGACGATTCAATTTTTCGATTTTTTTTTCACCCCTACCAAACATGGCTTATGCTATATTGGTAAGAGCCTAAAAGGTGTCGTTGGTCTTCACAAGGTGAATAATTGCATCAAGCTTTGTGCCGAAGCGCATGACCGGATATATAGAAAGCCTAGATTCTGTTAATGTTGTTCACCCTATGCCCCTTCGTGGCGAGTTTGTTTTCATTTATTTGTATGAGATACTTCCCTCTTGTATAGGAATATTATTACCAACAAAAGAAAAAAAAAAACAGAGAAACAGCTGCGCTTGCCCGTTCGACAGCTTTGCCCTGCATCGAGAACGGTTTCGTACTTTTATGGGAAGATATTCTCAATGCAAGGCTACGATGGTTATTTGAAGGGCTTTGCACTGACTGAATCCCATTTCGTCCTGCAGATATTAGATATTGCTCTGATTTAATTCACATGATCACAACCCATTACATGATAACATGACAGATGACACAAGAAATTGATAATTGCACTAAAAAAAAAAAATCTGAGCCATATCTTTTTTAGTTTAATTGTTAGTTTTTTTTGAACGATGATTTTTTAAGCTTTTTTTTTTTGGAACGATGCTAATTGTTAGTCGGTTCAACCGAACATATTTGGAGGACATTTGGTTGGATTTGAATCATTACTTCACCAAAAAAATAAGAAAAGATGACGACGCCTCAACAGTCAACACCAACCAAAGTTTGGAGAAGAAGAAGAAGACGCGTTATCCACATTTGGCCAAGTGGGGTTTTATGGTAAATTTATACCCATAATCATTGAATTTGCGGTCTTCTGGCCTTCTGGGAGCTAAGCTAACATCGTGTCATTGCCATTTGCCAACAGGCCCCACACACCTCCAGATAGGCCCACCCAAGGGATCAAATCCTGTACACGTGGCAGATTTTCAAATCTCAAATCAATCAGTCGGCATTAATTAAGCTACAGGCATCAGATTAACCGCTTGATTGAACATTGATTTCTCCGAGAAGTTCAATATCAATGGATAATGACCGATTCGTACGCGCTTAATGAGGCAATAAATAATTAAATATTTAAAACTGTGAGAGAGGGTGGGGTGGGGTGGGGCCGTGGGGGGGACAATGCTCCCGGATATTCCGGTCACACACCGAGCCCGCAGCTGTCATTCTCGTAAACCATTCGACCATCGGAGGGTAATTTCGGAACATCATCTCGTTGGATTCACCAACTGAGCTCGGTTATTCACCGTTGGATGTCGCATTATAGGAAATCCACGGCTATCAAACAAACTTTGACTGGTGTACCTTCCAAGGGAATGATTGGGTTGGAGCAGATTTTGACCGCAAAGGGCAAAAAGAAGAAAAATCTGAAAGTGAAACACATTATTGTTTTGGATTGTGGGTGGATTTGGAAGGGCTAGAACCTAGAACTTAGTTTTTTTCCTTTTCCTTTTTTTTTTTTTTTAAATTCCTTTTCTCTCCCCTGTTTGTTTCTCTCTGCAAAACAGGGAGGAGAGAGAAAAGGAGAGGCCTCTCTTTGGGGTTGTTTGTTTTGGTCTGTTTTTGTTCTCTGGAGCTGCGCAGAATCAGAAGAGTGGGATAGCAGGAGAAGAAAAAGACAACATAGGGAAGAGAAGCTAGGGTTTTCGTTGGATAGCCATGCATGTTATGCGTCGCCTCAAAAGTATTGCCTCTGGTCGCTCTTCCGTTTCTGATCCTGTAAGTCCCGCTCCTTTTTTTTTTTTTTTTTTTTTTTTTTACGCTTAATGGTTTTATCCTTGGTTTGTGTTTCTTTGTTTCCTTACCTCCGTTTTTCCCCTTTTTGTGATATATCGTTTTATTACTATCCTTCTTTGTTTCTCTGTAAATCGGTGAAGTTTGAAGTAACATTCAATTGATGTCAGACTTTAGGGTTTATATGTTTATGTATTCTTGCTTTAGGGGGTTTTGGGCTTACATTAATTACCTTTCTATCTGCATTTATTGATTATTTTGGAGATATTTGTATGTTTATTTGTTTATGTCTTTTATTTTCTTTTGTTTTGCGATGGACCTTAGAGTGCCGATTCCCTCTCTCTCTCTCTCTGGCTGCTTGATTTATGTTTTTGTTTGTCTGTTTTTGGAATATTAGTTATGTTGGATTTCTCTAGCTCCCTGGATCAGTTGGGGTCTTGGCAGTCTTGCATTTCATTTGATAGCTACAGAGAATTTTCTTTTGCTTTTCTAATATTAACTGGAATGTTGTTTATCAAATGGTGGGTAAACTGAACTCAAAGCCCTAATCTCATGGACATGACTTAGTATGTCGACCTATTGGTTGAATTGAAATGCTCGACGTTGGGACCATGCATATGGGTATTTGCTTGGGAAGCACTTATGACAACTTCGTTTCGGATTTTATGTTGTATATTTGTATTCAATTATTTAATGATGGACCACCATAAGCCAACAACTTGAATTGCACGGGATGGTATTGGGGAACCTTTTTACTTCTAATTTTATTTTCTTATTTTTTAACTTCATTCAGAGACGCAAGTTTATTTTATTTTATTTATAAACAAAATGAAAGAGCATTCAAATTGCATTTGATATAGGCCATTTGGATGCTTTGAAATATATTCCTACACATAGTTGCATCATAGTGTAGATTTTTTTTTTTTAAATTATTATGTAAGCTTAAAAAAAGCTAATCTCCTCAAGCTGCTAAAAAGTAAGCACATAGTTTTGAATGATATATACCTTTTCTCTTATTGAGCAAAAAGGAAGACATTATTTCCTCTCTTTTGAAGCATTTTGATAATGTTTATCACTATTTTCCCTCAGTTTTGATTTTCTATGTGAATTCTTCATCTCTCGTCTGACCTGAAGTCCTATCCCCATTCCAGGTGCATCATAGGAAATAAACTCATCACTTCGATTGAACTACTACTATATCATCTAAAAAGAAGTGCTATTCATAATCTAGAATTAGGTAAAGTTTGCATCGTATAAAGAATACCAACTGAAATTCTAAAATACTTAGTAAATTACATGATACTAGGTGCTTACTGCTTGAGTGACTTAAATTCAGTGGTTTTGCAATGTGAAATGTGTGCAAGGCCACTTCTCATCTAGTTTGTTTCCTATTGGGAAATTAGCGTGTATCAATGTCAATGCTATATGCTGGAACTAATTGTTTACTACTACTTGCACTCTACACCTTGTGCAAGGGTGGATTTTGTTTTTCTTTTCCCTCTTCATGGGGATACACAACGGGAGGTAGCCCTTCCCGACCCATGCCCCCCAACCCTGGTGACAGTGGGTTTTGATCCCAAGTCTCTGCTACAACCAACCAATGACCTTGCCAACTTAGCCAGTTGGCACCATCGTGCAAGGGTGGATTAGTTGTTCAAACTTTGAATGCTTTTCTGGTTCTTCAAAAAAAATCAGGATTGATATTTGGCCTAAAATTTGGATATTTGCAATGCCGTTCTGATATGAAGGTATACTGTCCTTTTGGTTGTGGAATCAAGTGGTTCAGTTTGGTTCATTGCAATTGGGGGAATGTTGTGATCAGAAAAAGGCAGAGGAAACACTTTTCCTGGTTTTTCTTTTCTATGAATAACTCTTTTCCTCATTTGTATTTTCTTTTTTTTACTCAGTAATTTCATTAGCTACAAGAATAAGAATGGCATTTCTTTTAATTAGGAAGAAATTCCCAAGGTTCTAAGTTATTAGATGTCCCAGGGAGGTACTAAGCAAGAGGCCCAAGCATCTCTCTGCACATTTGTCCATGGTTGTTTTAAAGCTCAACAGGTTTGAGAAGCCTGCTATGTATCAATGTAAATTCATTGGAGATGTTCTGCATCAGACACAGCCAATAGAAAACAAGTTCACTTTAGATATTTTGTGTCAGGCTGTCAGCTAGTGCAGGAATAGCTTAGTTTTATATAGTTCATAATTTGTGAAGTATCCTTTCCCTTAAGTGAAAGAGATCATGCCAAAACTTGAAAAAAAAAAACTCACTGTTTTTAGCTGCCATCTGTATTCTATTTTGTGTTATTTCTACTTAAAGTAGTGCCCATTTATTGCATACCAGCAATAATTGTTTTAGCATCACAGCTTGTAAGATTTCCGATCAATTTTATGGGTGTACCAATTATAAAGCTTGTCAGTAAGGAACTAAGAATGTCTATCTGAGTATCTAAGCCACACATACACTTCCAGAATTGATCAAGCTACACATACACTTCCAATAAAAAAAGGCTTATGGTGTTATGGTTTGGTTGTATATGCCAAACCCCTGAGATTTGGCAATTTCCACTCTTAACTATGAAGCCTTTCTTTGATTTCTTTATATTTAATTCTGATTGGTGAAATACCTGACGAGTCTTCCCAGGATTTGGAATCAAGATGAACCCACACTGACTTGTTGCAGCTAGATCCTTTGAGAAAACTTTGGTGATGCATTTTTACCTATTTAGTTATCTTTTTGTAACAATTTTCTAATGTATTTATGTTAGGGTGGGGATTCTGGATCAAAAAGGGCAAAGGTTGATCAGGAAATGGAACAGAATGCTACCAATGAGACTCATTTAATGGAGAAAACCAGTATAGGCCTAGAACAACATGTGGCTTCTACTTCTATTGAAACTGATGTGAGCACATCCAATATTTCTATTACCTCCAAAACTGAAAAGTCTGGTTATGACCAGCTTCCAAAGGAAATGCATGAAATGAAAATCAGAGATGACAAAACTGAGAACCATGATGATAAGGTAGTCATCATCTGTTCAGAATCCTGTTTCTGTGGATATCATTGAATCAAAATTTTTCCTTTACCAATTCTGTTTTATTTATAAAAAAATTGGTCCTGATTGTATTATTTGATTTTGCAGGATGCAGAGGCAACAATTGTAAATGGTAACGGGACAGAGGCAGGTCAAATTATTGCAACAACAATAGGTGGTCGAAATGGTCAGCCAAAACAGGTAATTCTTTAAACCACACATGTGAACTTGTTTCATTTGTTACAAAGCATGCCTCTTGTCTTCTTCAGTATCATCTTCCATACATCAATTAGTGAGTAGATTTGGGCTTTTCCTTGTCCTACCTCTATCATGTTGCATGATGGTCGATTATCAATGAGGTATGAAATGTTGCTGTAAGCAAATCAATCAGAAGGAGCACAAGGATGAAAAACAGAGGGCTTCAAACTTGCTTGTTTGTGAATTGGCTTAAGCATGGCAAGCACAAGTGATTGAACAGAACTTAAAAGTTTCTCAAAAAGAAATAAGAAATAAAAAGTAAAAAAAATAAAACAAAGGTGAACAGATATAATCCGGGTGTACCTTTGTTCTCAAAAAAATGTGTTAGTTCATGTTCTACTGAAACTTAATAACAGAAACAGTAGGAGAGTGGTAATTTAGCAATTAAGAAAGAAAAATCAATTAGAAAAATAAGTCTAAAAATAGTAATAGGAATTTAATAAGCTGATGTTCAATTAATAAATGAAATATGTACTATGAACAACGTATAGATCTTACCAATCAAAAGAAAGGAAAAAAAAACTAGAGATAGATCCCAATGGAGTCAGCACCACTAGGTTCCTCTAGGAATCAGCATCTAGAGATTCATGAGACAACAGCTTCGTAAGTTAGGAATTAGGACTCAGGACCAAATACATAAATAAAAAAAAATCTTCATCCTTCGTTCAATGGATGGCTTAAATGAACTAGTAGGTGAAGTATTTATTGACAAACAATATAAGTTTTTTATGATCAGAACGCAGGAGGCATAAGCCTATTTAAGAGGAGGAGGCGGATCTCATCATGTTTTTTCTTGTTTCTTTTTTTATGAGAGATGTCTTGTATTAGGAAGAATGAAAATGTATAACACTACTTGAAAAGGCGGGGGGGGGGGGGGTGCAAAACTCTCTATCCCTTCTCTTTCCTTTCCTTTCCTTTCCTTTCCTTTCCTTTCCTTTCCTTTCCTTTCTTTCTGTATGAGGTGTGTGTGCATGAGGCACATGAGGCATACGCCTCTAGCAAGGCTCATGGAAAAGGTGTTTGAGGCATATGCCTCAGAAGCATCAATGCCTCTGGCATACGCCTCAGGGTGTTTTGGGGGCACCTTGCCTGGAGGCATACGCTTTCCACACCTTTTAACATTGATTCAAAATGTCTTGAAGATATGAAGTAAATCTTGGAGTTCCAGCCATTATTCAGCATACATTCAGAATTGAATCAAAGATTTGGACCATTTGGTTGGGAGAATCAAATCCAAATGATATGGGGTCCACTTGAGTTGACGTCAACTTATTGGGCTTTCTAGAATGGACTGAACTTTCTGGGCCTTGGGTTCAATCTAGAATGGACTGACTACTGCTGCAGCTTTTTAGGCCCATGGAATTGGTTGGGTTCATGTGGATTTATAAAAATCAAATTGCTTTCCCATTGTACAGATAAATGAGTGTAACTGAGAGAAAAAGATGGACCTTGCTTTCCTTTTTTAGATGTTGACCTGCATCAACATATTTGGCCTTGTATGCAACCTTCATCATAGTTTGATCTCTGATTGTCCTAATTGGTTAGTTGGGTATAAAATTTGTGCTGTACTTACTTGGGGGCTACTGAAAAATAATTAAACTGTTTTTTATGTAATTGATTACAGACAATCTCATACATGGCAGAGCGTGTGGTTGGCACTGGTTCATTCGGAGTTGTCTTTCAGGTATACAGGTTTGATTTTATTGTGTGTGTAATCAAACTTTTATTTGGTCACATGCTGTATGGATCTTGGTAATGTTGTTAAATTTAGCAATTTATTCATCTCAGGCCAAGTGTGTGGAAACAGGGGAAGCAGTTGCCATCAAGAAAGTGCTCCAGGATAAGAGATACAAGAACAGAGAACTGCAAATTATGCGGTTACTTGACCATCCTAATGTAGTTCAACTAAAGCATTGTTTCTTTTCAACTACTGACAAAGATGAGCTCTACCTTAACCTTGTATTGGAGTATGTCTCCGAGACTGTTTACAGAGTTACGAGGCACTATAGCAGGATGAACCAACAGATGCCTCTGATCTATGTGAAACTTTATACTTATCAGGTGAGCTGTGTGTGTGTGTGTGTGCGTGTGCACTGCTGTCTGGTACATTTGGGTCTTACTCTCTTACCATATTTATATTGATCTTTCAAAGTTCTTTCTTCATTTCCTAAACCCTTTTTTATCTAATCATGTTATAGATTTGTCGTGCACTTAACTACATACATGGCGTCGTTGGTGTGTGCCATCGTGACATTAAACCTCAGAATCTGTTGGTAAGAAATTCTTCCATGCTATGTCTTTGGGGTTTATGAATGTGATTGTTATGTTTAGCACTTCTGATAAATTGTTTAAGTGTGGATCTGGATTAGGCACCATTTTAGATCTGTCATTGAACAATTCTGAGTTTGGAAATTGTCATGCCTACCAAATTTTACATGACTAGAAATTACTCAATGATCATGGTCAACCTCAGCAGGCATTTGACTTGCTGCTTTAAAGGAGTATATGTTAACTGGATATCATAAACCTGAAGGTGGTTGACATTACATTCTGTTGCTTGGAACATTATGATCAGATGCTATTAAAATGTTTATCCATCTGAAAAAAACCTTCATACTGTTTAAAAAATATTAATCTTTTTCCATCTCAAGAAGTGGGTATGGTTGTTGTAAAGCTAAGAAGTTTTTATGCTTAAGTGGACACAAATTTGTCCGATAGGTTTCAGTTAGCCATCACTTAATATCTAGAAACTTGGAGATATAGTTCTAAAAGGAGATTTTATTTCCTTGATAGCAAGCTTGACAATTTTTTGCTGCATTTTAAAATAGAGCTTTTGTTCTTCATGGCATTATGCTTATTTTCATATTAATTAGTTGAGTACTTTGTGAAATAAGAAAGGGTAAAATACAGAGAACTACCTTGTACTTTAGGAGTAGTGACATTTAGGTCCCCAAACTTTCATTTTTGACATAGAGTTACCCTGTACTTTAAGGGCCTGTTTGTTTGCTCTGACATCTGACATCTGAAAGTGCAATAATTACATTAAGAGGTATATTGGTATTGGTGAACTTTTCTTTCCTCTGAACTATGAATGAAGAGAATGATGTTCTGATTTTTGAATTCTGAATTCTGAAAATTGTCAAATATCCCTTTTAACCCCATATATGAGAATTTTTATTTGTGTTTTGGGGGTATCATTGGAAAACAAAAATTTGTAAGATTTCTATTTAAGAGATAAAAGATAAGAGGAAATGAACACCCATTTTCCTCCTAAAGTTGTAAGATTCCTCTTAAGAGATAAGAGTTAAGAGGAAATGAACAGGCCCTAAGATTCTAACACTCTGCTAATGCCATTGGCATTCTGTCAGTTTTGAACTTTTATGAGCTACCCTGTACCTTTTTCAACTCTCCTTTGTTTCTCTCTTAAACAAATGAAATGTAGAAAAGAAATAGTTTGGAAAGTTCAAAGCTTGGGTTATGGAGAATGGAGATGCAATAAGGGAGAGTAAAATGATCTCATTAAAGTTCAAAACTGATAGAATGCTAATGGCAGCAGCAGTGTGTTGGAATCTGAAAGTACAAGGTAGCATGTTCATGAATATATTAAGGTGTTGATGCTATTTCTAAGAATTGAAAATTCCCAATTTACTGTCAGTTATTATTATTATTATTATTATTACATGCACACATGCATATGTTTATTGTAGGTCTTACTGGGGGAACTCCATGAACATTAGAGATTTCACTGAATTTAGTATGATGTAAGTACTGAAGTATAATGCTAGCGCACTGCATTGGATGCTTGCACCCATATCCATATCCTGGATTTTGATACATAATGGTCCTTTTTTTTGTTCTTGGTATCAATGTGCATGTCTTATGCATCCACCTTAGCTGATGTAAGACAAGATTAAGAGACCCATTTTCTTGAATCTATCTACTGCCACTTGAATTTGGGATTAATGGATTTGTAAAATCATATTTTCTTTTTTACAAAAAAAGGCTGGTATTTTCAAGTGCTTTTGAAATATTTTGTTATTCTTGGATGCAATTATTATTCCAAAATGAAATATGATTCTACCAAGTCAATTACTGAGGAATTAAATAGAACTTCATATGTTTATTTTAAGTTCTAAATCATCTCAATTATTGGGGTTTCCATCAAGAGAAACACACCCAAGGGTTAAAACAGCCAAATTGGCTGGATATGTAATTATGGGTGAGAGCACTATAAACCATTTTGAAATAGTGATGTCAGTCTATTGTGTTTGTAACATAATTGAAACTATTATTTGGTACTTGTGCTGTTTTTGACCTTGGGAAAGTTAAGTTGAAAATTTGATGCATGTTGCAGGTTAATCCTCACACTCATCAGCTAAAGATTTGTGATTTTGGAAGTGCGAAAATGTTGGTGAGTCTTTATTTTCCTGGCATTGGATTTTTTTTTTCATTCCAAGATAATTTTTATTTGTTTAATTTCAGGTGCCAGGAGAACCAAATATATCATACATTTGTTCACGATATTATAGGGCTCCAGAATTGATATTTGGAGCTACCGAATACACCACAGCAATTGATATGTGGTCTGCTGGTTGTGTCATGGCTGAGCTTCTCCTAGGACAGGTGGGTGTGCTTTTGTAAGTTATTCCCAGTAATGGTTTTTGTTGAAATTGAGTCATCAAGTGCAATTTTCCTTTGACTTAGCATTTTGGTCTTTCTTTATTAGAAGTAGTTGCTGATAATATTGTCTTTATGTTATTGTTTGGCACAAATTGCTTTGCAGCATGTGGAACATTTTAAGTTAACCCATGCTTCTCTCTTCACAATTGTCTGGAATTAGTTTAGTTGATCTGCATGGGATAAAGCTGTTGAAGCATTGTACATGGCTTCAAGTAATAATTGAGCATTGGTAACATGATTTATGATCCTACTTTAAAATTTCCTTTATAGTCCAAGAGTGGAGCTTGTTCATCTGTGACAAGGTTTAAAATTTCGATACGATACGCCCGATACGGGGTGTATTGTATTGTATCTTTCGAAAACAGATACGGGATACACATGGAAATCGGACGTCTAGTCTTTTTTTTCCATGTGTATCGGACCGTAGCGGGGCGTATTGAGGGTGTATCGGTAGCGTATTGACAAAAAAGATATGGCCAAAAACTGAAAAAAATAAAGGGAAAAAACAAGCTTCTTTTCCCTAAAATAAGCCTTCTTTCACCCCCAAATGACTCTAAAACTCCAAACCTCATTCCTAGAGTGCTAGGTTTGCAAAAATTTGCAAGAAACAAGTGTGAAACGTTAATTTTTTTTGAAAAATTTTCAAATTAAAAAAAATATGGCAAAAATAGGGAAGTTTTTTCAATTTTTTATAATATCTTGTGATTTCATTTTTTTTCTTGAATGTTTAAATTTATGTTGATCTACATTTCTTACATTCAAAATCATAATTTTTTGTGTTATTAATAAATTTATGGAAATTTCATGAAGATATTTGGGGAAAATATAAATTAATAAAAATTTTAAAATGTAATTTTTCATATCCATAGAGCAATTGAATTTCTTCTTTAGTATTTTTTTTATTTCTTTATATTTTAGAATAAAAAAATAAATAATAATTATTTATATTTTATTATTTTATCACAACAATTGAATATATTATAATTCTATGGATGATCTATCATATACACAAATCAATTGAATTTATTATTTTTATATTTTTAGAATTAACAAATAAATACATAATTAATTATATTTTATCATTTGATCACAATGATTGAATATATTATAATTCTATGGATGATCTATCGTATCTACAAAGCAATTGGAATTTCTTCTTTAAAAACTATTTTTTGAATATATTATATAATGTTTATTTATTTTTTATATTTTTGGAAATAAATAATAAATAATTATTATTTTTATTTTCACTTAGAAGTGACAATGCATGTTTTATGGTTGGATAGGAGAGTTGGGTTTTTCCCATCCCATAAAACATTAAAACTTAAGAATTATAATTTATAAATTATAGTTAAGCATATGATTTTTAATGAAGTTATAATTAACTATAATATATTTCTTCATAAACCATTAAAATATATTAATTTAATGTATATACACCTCATTGAGGTCTTATATTTAGTGTTATTGATGTATTTTTATGATTTATTAAAGTATTTATGGTGTTTCCAAGCGTATTTATGCGTATCTTAGTTTTTCTCCGATAAGCATGCGTATCCAACGTGTATCTCGTTACGTCTCTTAAAATTGCCTTTCCGATACACTTGGCGTTTCCGATACTTTGAACCTTGATCTGAGATGCATATTAGGATTTCTCTTGGAAGAAATTGTATTTTTTATTGTTTGGGTTTGCTATGATTTCCCTATTTCATGTTTATTAATGAAACAAGCAAAAATATGCAATAGATCAGACATCCTAGAGGTTGAGATGATCTATCTCAGAAGAAATACGTTAATGGGAGCACCTATCCCCCAAAATAAATTCTCTATACCCCTTGTTTTGCCACGTGCCAACCCATCTGCCAGCCAATTTGCAGACTTATAGACCCAATGTACTGTATCACTCTTTTCCTTTTAAGTTTTATTTTCTCAGCAAGTGTTTCTATTGCCAAGGACATCTTTCTTACATCACTCAAAAGTAGATCTCTGCAGTCTTGTTATAACTTGCCCTGATAATAATAAGCACATTTATGGTCCTCCAAGCATTTTTGTGGATCATTTTTTCCGCTATGAAGATCTCATATGACTGCTGATCATATTTAGTACAATGTTTTCAGCCATTATTTCCTGGAGAAAGTGGTGTTGATCAGCTGGTGGAAATCATTAAGGTGTGGTACTATTTGGTTTATTTTTATGCTTGTTTACTTGTTACAAATGTAGGTCTCATGAATGAATTTGTTACACACCAGGTTCTGGGGACGCCTACAAGAGAGGAGATTAAGTGCATGAATCCAACTTATACAGAGTTCAAGTTCCCTCAAATCAAAGTTCACCCATGGCATAAGGTCTGTTAACAATTCAGTCAGATTGGAATTGATAGAAATTAACCCATAGTTAGTGGCAGTTGTTAAATTGTTTTCAGTGGGTTTTTCCATACATCTTGACCTTTGGAAGAAAACTAAGTCAAGTGGGGTGTGTGTTATTTGATATCTGGAAATTGTTATCTTGATCCATTTCCAGTTGGAAACTCCACTAACTCTTAAATCTTGCAGGTTTTTAACAAGCGATTGCCTCCTGAAGCAGTAGATCTTGTGTCAAGGCTGCTCCAATACTCACCAAATTTGCGTTACACTGCTGTAAGAATTTTAAATACCTTAAATGAATTCATAATTTGTCTCGATATTGTTGTTTGATGGACCAGATCTCTTTCTTTTGTCTCATAGTACTGCAACAAATTCTTTTCTAAGTTGCTGGTTTCTTCACTAACTTCAGCTACAAAGTTAATTCTTAGGGCTGTCAACCAAGGTTTTCAACCTGTCATCAACCCAGCTGGTCAGACTAGTGAACCCGTCACCAGCTGAGAATTTGGGTCCTTTTAATTCCTGACCTGCTTACTTGCCAAAAACTGGAGTGATTTTAGTAATTGCATTAAACCCCAAGTGAAAATTTTTAGAGGTTTGAGAATGTTATAAATTTGTAAAACTGTGGATTAATTGGTGAAGTTTCAAAGTCCTAACCTCTTTGAAAGAAGTTCAAGCAGTGTTCTAGGAATGAGATCCAAGGACATGGGACGCACATTATTAGTTTATTACCATTAAAAAATGGGAGATCCTATGATATTTGTAACTTTTTTTGGTGAATAATTTGCTCGGTACACTGTATCTATACCAGAAGGTGAAACTATGATGTATGCTTGAACCTTTGTGTTCTTTGATGTCTGTAGGATAATCGAGTGTTAAGTGTGTTGAGAACCTGTTGGTGTCGAAATCCATGTGTGTCCAATTCATTTACGTTGTAGAGACTGTATGCGGCTGGCAGAATTCATCAAGCTGAACTTTATATTCCATGGACGATTAGAATAGACAAAATGAAACACGATGAAGTTGTCAGAAGCTAAACTTTATATTCTATAAAGGATTAGAATAAACAAAATGAAACTTGTGTTCTTCTGTCGTATAAATCTTCAAGTCAATAGCCAATGACAGACACAATGAAGTTGTCACAAGTTGTAACTCTTTCCATATACTCATCAGTCATTTACTAAAGCTACTGAAAAAAGACCAATAGGGTGGCCAAGAAAAGAAGATATTGTTTGGAAGCTTCCATCAGTTTTCATGAATCATCAACTTATAGTTTTGTTTTTGCCCTGGGCTCCTGCAGTTGGAGGCATGCGCACACCCCTTCTTTGATGAGTTGAGGGACCCTAATGCACGTTTGCCTAATGGACGGCCCCTTCCACCATTGTTCAATTTCACAGCTCAAGGTAAAGTAGAATACTCTTTCCTTGCTCTTCTTGACAGTTGACAATTGACATTATTCCACTTTGGCTGATCTTTTCTTGTATGGGTAACCTTTCACAGAGCTAGCAGGTGCATCTCCTGAACTGCTTCAGCGTCTCATCCCTGAGCACGTGAAGAAGTAAATTTGTCAGGCATTGTGGTTTTGGCGGTAGTTGTTAATATATAGGGGCTCTGATGCAGCAGCGTAGCCTATATTGGGCTACCAGCTTGCCCTGTCAAGCCTAGAGCTCACCATCCACTTGGTGCTTAGAGGTCAAGATGGCAAAGCAAGGCCAGATAACAAAGAGGAGGGTTTATACTATATAGGCGATGGAAGGTGACCAATTTGGTATGGGAGGATGATGGTTAAACACTAGGCGGTGACGGAGGAAAGGCTTTGTGCAGCATTGCCATTATGAGGCGCACCGAATGCAGTTTTGGAAGATCGCAAGCAGCAGGCATTATATCTATGACAATGTAATACTTTTGATGTTATATATATATAACCAACTATTACAGATCAGTAGTAGCCATCAGGCATTTTAGTTTGCTCTTTTGTGATAAAATTGACTTCCCACCAACTGTAGTTATACTGTAGTGAACTAGTGATCTATGATCTGAGGATTTGTAGACATTTATGTCGTTCCCAAGAAGTAAGACCTTTTTGATGAACCTGGTTTGTGTTTGTGATAAAATTCCGCAGTTGAAGCTAGCCTTTAAAATTTAAATACATGGGCCTGAGATGGATTTAAGTAATAATCGGGCCAGAAGTCAAGAGTATCGGCTACTCATTAGGTAGTCTAAAATTAAACTGGCTCGTGTTGAGCATTTGTTGAATTTTGAAGGGTCCAGGCCGATGGCCTAAGTACCCCTAGGCCCTAGTAGATCAGTAAATGGTAACAAGCTGTTTTGTTGGGTTTGATCTGATATAGGTGATGTTTGGCATCGATGATGATTAAAGAAATTGGTGATTTTTGAAAAATCATAAAAAATTATTGTTTAGTATCATTTATGCTAAGTAAGGGCTGATTATTTTTGGTATTGAGAAACCAGCGTCGAGTCTATTTGGTATTGATTTTTAAGGGCTGATTATTTTTGTATTAGAGTTATTATTCAATGTCATGTCATCCTCAAAAAATCATAATCAGTTAGAAATCAGAAAATCACCAAAACAAGGCAATCCTTAAAAAGGGCTGATTTCAATAATCGATTTTGATTGATTTTCTGAAAATCATCAAAATTGACTAACCAAACAGAAATTTCAACGTCGATTCTTCTAACACTGATGTGGGCCATGTGGCTCTAACTGTTCATTTTGTGCTAATTTATGGGATGAATACTTACCATTTTTTGCTGATTTTTGGGATGAATACAAACCCTACACAAACCAATATATTTATGGATACTTTTTTGTGCTGATTTTGCTGATAATACAAACCAATTTTGGGATGAATGTTGTTGATAACAGGGTATACACAGCTGAGTTTATAGGATTAGTAGGGGTAAGTTCATTTAAAAGTGGACAAATGAAATTGATGAGCACCATGGTGTTGTACTATTATTATCACCACAAAATAAGAAAGGTTGTTGGAATGGGTTAAAAGGATTTAACTATTATTATGAATAATTGCTATTTTGTCTTCTCTTTGTAAACACATACTAGGCCTACAACTTATATGGTGTTGTTTATGTATAATTGCCATACTAAAAAAAATCTTTTCCATTGGATGGCTTGGTAACCGAATTTGATCAGGGAACTCAATCATATGGGGTTGTCTAGAATCACAGAAATTCATGTTATAACTGAAGATTTCAGATTTGAAATCTCTCTTTGTATGTATGCAACACTCAAGATTTCAGATTTGGGATCTCTTCTCTCTCTCTCAAGATTTCAGTCTTGAAATCTATTTACAGTCCACAAATCTATCTATCTATCTATATATATATATACATGCACACACAGTCCACAAAACCTTATTTCTCTCTTATTCAAGATTTCAGTTTTGAAATCTATCTCTCTCCTAATGAAATGTCAACTTGCATGGATGATGATGGACAAGTTTCTTGTTAGACAGATTAGGTATATGGATGATGTTTGACAGGTTTTCTTGTTGGAACAAATGTTGGATAGGATTTCTCAATGAAATGGAGGACAGGTTTTCTTATTCCATTCTAATGTGAATGGGGTTGAAGGAGTTTCAGGATACATATGACTAGTTGTTTCTTTTGAATATGGATGATGTTTGACATGTTTTCTTGTTGGACAGGTTTTCCTAAGCCTTTTGGATATGGGTTGATAAGATCTTTAGCATGTTTTAATGCCCATTGTTATCTTAACTACAGGTTTTAATGGCCACATACTATGTTGTCATCAAAGGTCATTGCCCTGGGGTATACTTGACATAGGCAGATGTACGAAGAAGCCGTACATCAATTTCACATGTACTATAGTAGAAATTCCACACCGTATTGTCACGGGGGTAGTTCTACAGCGGAAGAAACCCATGCGGCGTCCTGGCCAAGGCAGGCCAAGACAAGCCTTTGTGCGCTTAGAGGCTAGGAGTTGCCCGATGGGATGGCTCCACCAACGTCAGTAGCACTGGATCATGACCTCAAGTCCAATGGCCGGGGCACTCTCCTGGCTCAGACCGGTCCATGGGAGGCGCCG